CTGTTTTGAGAAAATCGCGTTCAAAGTTCTCGCGCCTGCTTATCAGTCTCCTGAGCGCATTGTCTCTCAGAGGCCGGAACGATTAGGAATTTGACTCTGAAATTTTGTGGAAATATCTCTGAATATTATTTTAATCGAATGAGATAAGTTTCAAAAAACCGATTTTTTGGACCCTCTAAACCACTTAAGGGGGGAAAGTGGGTAGACCGCAAAATTTGAAAAATATGCAATATGTGACTTAATTGTGAGCAAAATAAAGAAATCACAAAAAACACTTTTAAAATTTTATGTTATAATTGAAAGTATTTTATTTCCCCTTTTTTTATTAATTGCTGTTGTTAATCTAAGTATTCTTAACAAATAACTCTGGTAGAAATAACAAGCTTTAAAACCGAGCGGTAAAAAATAATAACAAATTGAAAATTTGCCAAATATGGCGTTGTCAATTAATTATTTGCAAAATGTCCACAAAGCTCAAAATAAAACGTATATAACTCAACGTTATCACTAACTTGGAAACTAGCTATGCGTTGATCTATTGCATTCAATTCATTTAATGCTTTGGACAGTTCAGATCTTGTTGATTTAGCGCTTTTAACAATGCCTGGCAAACGAACTAATAAAAATCTTATTCAATAAGTTTATTTTGATATTAAAAATGATTTCCATTGAACAGTAAGTCACGAGACAATCCGAAAAGTCTTAAAAATACAGAAGTACTCCTTGCAAAAGCTGGAAGAAACCATTGTTGTCGGTAGTTAATATTGAGAAGCGGTTCAATTTTTCTATTGCCAATGTTTATAGGACTGCGGCATACTGCGATTGCGTTATTTTTTGCGATAAGACAAAAATAATATTATACAAGTACTATATTGATGGAGTAAAGTTTGGAGACCCAACACAGCTTTGCAAGAGAAAAATATAATTCCAACAGTAAAATTTAGTAAGTTTTCTGCAATGGTGTGGGGTTGCATTTCGTGGAAAGGTGCTGCTCAGCTCCAAATTTTCTATGACGTGATGACGAAAACCCTAATATATTACATAATTGCAGTAAAGACCTGACTTAAACCCCATATTAAATTTATGGGGTTTCTTAAAGAAGCGAGTGGGCAAACGGGGCTCAACTAATAAAAAGTTGCTATTAAGGTCATTCTGAAAGAGCGGAAAAAAATTGAAAATTATGGCTTAAACAACCTTATTCAGCCCATCCCCCCCATATATATATTTTTTTCATTTTTATATCTCTTTTACTTTTATGACTTGAATTCTAGAATTTGTGTGCATTGCTTATGTTAAGATTACTCAGAATAATATTATTAAAAAAAAAGAAGTTAAAGAAAATTGTTTTAGTTAATAAAAATCAAGTTAAAAATAGATTTTTTTTGATTTAGTTCATTTTACAAACAATTAATTGACATACTGTATGTCTGTATGGCTGTGATAAAAAATGTATAATAACTAACTTTTCTGTAATAAAACACTAAAATATGTAAAGATTAAACTTAACTTTATACTTTTTTCAGTTGACAGCAATACTGACGATTTTTTGTTGACTATTGTTTTTTATTAATTTTATATACCGTTAGATGAAAGGTTATTACAGATATTGCTTATATATTATATTATCAGAGGAATTTTTAAAAACAATATACATTACATCATCGCGCTTCTCAACATTTCGTTTTATGGAGTTAATCGATATGTGCACTGAGAGGCTCATATATAATATAATGAAATCGGCTGCGATAGCAACTTGAATATATACACACAAAAATATTATAGTAATATACAATTTATTCCTCTTATCAATAACATAATTTTATGCTACAATGGGAAGGAAAATACAATAGTTTCTTAATAAATGCTGCTTTTTAAATCTACAAGGCTTTATGTTTTTAATCATATGTTCGTTCAAATTTAGTAAAATTAAAAAAAAACTTTGTAAATTATATATTTCATGCAGTATTGGCAACACTGTGTTTACTCATTGCATTCCACCAAATTGGAAATAGAGAACTACGCCTACATTGGTGGTTGTATGTGGCTGTACAGCCACTCATTGTTACTAAGAGAAGTGCTTATACGTGTTTTCTTTTGGTTATTGCAACCTCACCACTACGCTTTTCTATAAAAAAGTGGTTTCATGCACCTAATTTTGTATCAATGCCAGATATTACTTGCTTGCTATTGTGTGTTTTATAAATATTAACCATAATAATACATAAACCGAAAGTTTCTTATGTGTGTACAAATATACATATAAAGACTCAAGCCAGAAATTGGAGGATAAACACAGTACTTACTTTTCCAAATGACAAATCAAAACTAAACTTCTAACTGTTGCCAAGCGTGTATTATTTTCGTGGCTGATGAACCAAGTACCGGAAAAATTATTTTTGTTAAGTGGTAACATAGAGAACCTAGTTTCAAAAGGTAACAGTGCAGGCAAAAGTGAAAGCTCAACTAAACTCATTGTCGAATGTTAACACAGCGATATACAAAGAATTTATTTACATTAGAACCATCATATTCGAGAATTCGAATTGATTATTTCTACGCCATGGGGTAGGAACTGATTACTTGCACGTTGTACGTATTACTGACTCGTATACCTCGAGCTACAGTTTCACGTTATCGAGGTATTTATCAACTAACTTGAATGTATACAAGTCTTGTATAGTTTTTAATAAATTCAACAAAGGGAGCAAATTCATTTAAAAACTTACTACAAAAATTTAAATAATGTATTTTAAAGTTATGCTTTTCAAAGAACCCGTTCTACCCACACCCGCTTTACACTATTAAGCAAAGTTATACAGAAATTAATTTATCACTTAAGAAGAATGAAATGTACCATAACTTACATCAATACTGAACTTTCTAACATGCTACCTTGCTTCGCAAACTATCCATTTCTGTGGCTCAACTGCCAAACTACCCTGCAAGAAGGCTTCCGTTCATTTGAGCCAACAAATGTCAGAAATGCATCAGGTCATATCCCGTCAGCTCGTTTTTCCCATAACATTCTTAAAGCCGAAATGACATGTTATGTTTAAATTTGTATACGTGTACGTCATTCTCTCTTTATTTCCTTGTACATTTTCATTCTTGTTGGACAAACAGAACACAGCTGAGAAAAAACATTGATGCCAAAAGGAAGCAATATTGACGTAAACATATGCAGCGGTGCCCTACAAATCGAACACAGATGAGCGACAGCATTGATGCCGAAGTAATTGGCTTTGACGAATTTTTTTCCTAAATATATGTATATTGCACATATATAAATACAAACAATAATAATATTCAGTCTTTATTCCAACATGTTTACAAATATCATGTACATGAATTATATAAAAAATTACCAAAATATTGTAAGCAAACCCATATATATATGCATTCAGCTCCTCAACTCTACGAATGCCTGTGTCATAATTGCGGCTCCTTTGAAGTTTAAATGCGTCTAAGTAAAATATAAAAATAATGTTAGAATCAGAATGTTATTAATATCTAAATGTAGTTGTACCTCGCAAAGTTCTGTTCAAGTCAACTTTCTCCATTAGCTGTATTTTCCGCACAAAATGGGGAGCCTTACCCGATATTACTTCCACCTTTTGCGAATAGGACGCCCTTAAATAAAAATTGAAAAGAACAATAAAAAACGAAGTAGTTAATTAATAGACAATATATTATTACCGCAGCTTGTACAGGACCCTTATCCATATTTTTCACTGCTACATAGAAAACGAGAAAAATGCTTTCTCGAAAATAAGAACATAAAAAAAGCGTATAATCTGTTCAACTGCATTCTCTTTCAAATTGTATATACTCAGAGGATAAGATAAACAACAAAAAAAACAAAAAAAAAAACAAAAAAAAAACTTGTTTAGTCTGAGTTTACATGAGGATACTTTTGTCGCTTATTATCGTAATTTTCTATTTTGTGTCGCCCTTTACGTTCACCTAGAAGCGCTTTCTTCAAGCAATATTCTTGAAGTTTGTTTCTTCTTCATGTCTTTTTCTCTATTCCGCAATTTTTCGTTCCCGTCGCGCTTTGTATTTTTTCTCAAATAAAAACTCTTTGTTTGTGTAAAGGAAAATACAGCTAAAGCTAATTACATATGCATTTTATCCTTTTCACTATCCCCAGATTAAATCCCAGCGCCTCTCTAATATTTCTTGCATTAATTCAACTTCATCTGCAAACTCCGTTATCTGAAATATTTATTAATACTTGGATACATGCACATACATATACATATGTAAGTATTGTAGAAAAACCCGACAAAATACGACATTTATTCGTTTGACAGCTACAATCGGTTCAAAATGAGAGAAACAAAATAAAAGGGGATGTCGAAATAGACGAAATGAAACACAAAACGTGGCGAACGAGCACAGCGACACGGTGCACTACCCTATAAACGAGTGTTTCGTCAACAAAAAGTATACTCGTGTAATCTCGGACTTAGTGCTGCCAGAATCGTGTGAGTGTATTGGCGAAGCCATCAGCCTGTTCTTTCAGAGAAGATAAACACCCTGCCGGGAAAAATACTAGTTGTCAACAAGAATCCAACGAATTCATTTTCATCCATTATCCATGTAAAAAACTGGTATTTTTAAAACAGCGATGAAAACAGTTATATAATAGTGCATTTAGGCATGTTGAATTTCTACAAAAAAAAAAAAGACCCTCACCCACCACAGTGAAGACCTCTAACCACCAGACTATCGTTATAATATACGAATTTCATCTTCAACATACTAGTTAACTAGAATTTTGCAAACTAGTTGATTTTTCCTCGCACTGCCCTGCAAGGGAATATCCCAGTTTCCAACTACAATTCAACTAGTTTACACTTTTACACCAACTTGTTCATCTTCATCCAGTTACCATGTAAGCAACTGGTATTTTTAACTCGGCGATGTCCTACGAGCTGACAATTGTCATACTAGTTTAATACTATTGCATATTGATTTTTTACTTCATAAAAAAACAAAAGAAACTAAATCAAATAAAATTCAGTTTACCGGCTGCGAGAATCGAAGCGAGACCCCTACGCACAACAGTTAAATCCTTTGTGCTTAAAATATGAAAGTATTGTAAAGATGTGTTCACTTACGTTTTATTTAACAAAACCACTATACCAAAACTTAATAATAATTCAATGAAAACTTAAAATAATTAAAAGTATGAGGTTCCTAATGAAATGCCCTGGTAACGCAAATATACCATTTTGCAAACCTTGCAATCATAATTTGAAATATGCCAGATCACATACCATAATTAGTTTTAAGTAGATCTTATCTATTAGTATAATATTTTGTAGTATATCCACGATTTTGAAAAGCAGCTTTAAATCTGCGTCCCATGCTATCAACAAGTTTCTCACATTTTTCTTTTGGTGTTGGTACTCTACACTTCCTTGACGCATTCCCACACATTTTTTAATTTCTTTTTGTAGATATTATCGTTTTCACATCGTTACGTACATTTTTGATAGGATTTAGGTCAGGGCTTTGCGCTGGCCAATCCGACACACGGATATTTTCCTTTTTTAGGCAATCTTGTGTGACCTTCGCGGTATGCTTAGGATCATTATTCTGCGTAAAAGTCAAACTTTGTGGCTCATTTATTCCTTAAAATGTCCAGATAATGTTATTTGTCCATTTTTCAATTTATTTGCACAGTTAGCCTACTCCATGCCAGGAAAATGTCTCCAAAATCATACCGCCTGAATATTTTACGGTCTTTTTGGTGTACTTAGAATTCAAATCTTGACCTTCTTTGAGATGGAATGTGGGTTTTTCATCTGGCTCCATTATATTTATTTTAGTTTCATGGGTTCATAATACATATTTCTAAAAACATAGCGCTCGGTTTTCAGGCGCCTTAGCAGATGCCCTTTTGACAGGAGTGGTTTTTTGTCGGTAATATGTCCAAAAAGCTGGGCCTCATTCAAACGACTTCCGACTGCTTCTTGATATTTTCAAAACGTATTTCCGTTTATTTCCAGCATTTTTTCTCTAGAAATCTTAAAATAATCTTGCTTCTTCTTTCGTCTTTTGGTTCCATTGTCTTCCGTAAAGCATTGTTTTGAGATAAATATTCTTCACTCTCCTGAATCAGTTCAAAGGCATTATGTACAATTTTACGGGAATAATTCAGTTTTGCAATTCCTAAAAACCTTTTCCCTGCCTTAGCCATGTTATAAATAATGTTTCTTTTTTAAGGAGTTCAATTTAGTTCAATCTGCGTAAATATTTAACTTCCGCTAAAAATAAATAAAAAGATACTTGCAAGATGCAACCGAGGACTATGCCATTTGCGTGACTACTACAAATTAATAGCTCGATCAGATAAATCAACGAGAAAATGCGATTGCTAGGATAACGGGACTATACGAAACCACTGGATGTAAAAAAAATCTGCAACAACAAATACACACAAAGAGCTGTTTACTTATTTGTTCTCTATTTTTCTTGAGAGAGTTTGTGTTTGGTTTTGCTCGTTGAGAGTACATTTACATTACTTATTTATTCCAAAAGTTAAGGCCTTACTGAATTCTCTAGGGGGTACCCACCTATTACAGTAACGTAGTATTCGTTTGCGTTCGGCGGTTCGTAAAATGATCGCCCAACGATGTTGTGAAGCGCGAATAAGGTTGAAGGTACGGGTATACATCGTTAAGCAGACATACATATGTGTTAATAAGACGTGAACGTCGGCACATACCGTCGCTTCTTATGTTGCAACTACCCATTTTACTTACCATTCGTCCATAACAGGCGACGTCAGAAGCGAGATATATACACAATTGTTGACGAAGCTGAGAGCGGCAAAATGTTACCAGCTGCCAGTGTAAAAACCAAACTAAATATGAATGACATAATTAAAATTGTTTGTATGTGCATTAATAAATCTAAAGCGCTCTGGAGATGGCCATATGTGTGAGTCTTGTGTCTCCTCAAACGTTCAGATAAACGTGTCAATCGTCATTTTAAATCATGCCATCTTATCTGTTGCAATTTTATTGGAAAAAAATATTTAATAGTTTGATTAAATATTTTTAGCTAATTCATTTTAACGGGCAAAACCCTAAAGATAATGCTTCTGTTGTCATTGTTGTGTATATTTTTGTTTGGTTTTTTCGACGTTAATTTGTCCTTATTTTTAAAAGAGCTAAAAAGATATTTATATTGTATATAAATATAATTATTTTAATCACAAAATATTATGTCAGTACATATTGTGTATAATCAAATAACGGAACGGGACGTTATTTGATACGCGAATTTCCCACACTTCACCATCGAACATCACAACAAACCTTAGCTAGCTTTTGTCAAGCATAAGTGGAGAAGATGAAGTTTTGTCTGTCCAATTCAAATATCAAAATTTTTTTGATTCTCATCGCGGAACCAACAACAAATCTGTGTAGCGCACGTGTAGCCGACTAAAGCCGACTATGCCAATATAAAAGTGAGCGCAAAGTCAAATGCAATGCTAAAAGGCCAAGATACGAGTAGAGTAGAAAAATTAAACACGTAATACATAACCCAGCAGCAGGTAAGGATTTGGTATTTTACTTTTAATTGAATAAATTAAAAAATATTCATACTATGAGGTGTACAACTTTGCTTCCGCCGTTTTCCGATAGGTGTCTGTACCGGCTGAGGCTGGTTGAAATACATAGATAATAATGCCTTTAAAGTGAGAGTGGACAGTGCCTAACGAATTGTCATCGCCGTTTCAGTGACAGTTGTTCTTGTTTTCGTATTATTCACGCTCGAAAATGTCCGTTTATGTGCCTAGATCTCGCCATTTGCGTAAAGTTTTACTTTTCTGTTACAATTCGAAAAAAATGCAGCTGAAGCGCATCGAATGCTCTCAGAAACTTACGGTGATGCTGCTCTGAGTGAGAGAACGTGTCGGGAGTGGTTTGAACGTTTTAAAAATGGTGATTTCAAGGCAAAACCGAATATTCACGGCGCCAAGGTTATGATTTGTATTTGGTGGGATCAGCTCGGTGTGATTTACTACGAGCTCTTGAAACCGGGTGAAGCCATCACAGGAGATCGCTACCGAACGCAACTGATGCGCCTTAGTCGCGCGCTAAAAGAAAAGCGGCCACAATATCAGGAGCGACATGACAAAGTCATCCTCCAACACGACAATGCTCGGCCTCACGTCGCAAAAGTGGTCAAAAAGTACCTGTTGCCCCACCCGCCGTATTCCCCAGATGTCGCCCCTTCTGACTTCCACCTATTCCGTTCGATGGCACACGGCCTGGCAGATCAACATTTTCAATCCTTCGAAGAATTGGAAAAATGGATTGTTTGATGGATAGCGTCAAAAGAGGACTCCTTTTTTCAAGCCGGGATCCGAAAATTGCCGGAAAGATAGAAAAAAGTTGTCGCTAGCGAAGTACAATACTTTGAATAATATATCTATTAGCACTTTTTCGCAATAAAGCTTTTAATTTTGGAAAAAAACGGCGGAAGCAAAGTTGTACACCTGATATTTAAAAAATAGCTGGTCAAATTTAAGACCCCCGTTTAGTACTGAAAATAATTATGCTTATAGTCTAAACTTTTGTGGTGGGCCTTATATTTTGTATAACTTAAAAAAAACCCTTTAGGATCAAAGAAATGTGGTTATTAATATTTCCCGGAAATATGTTGAATCAGGTTGCTTTGATCAGCTCAAACTTTACATCCTATTTTTACATTTTTCCCAATGAATATTGAAAATCCAAATCTCCAAAAAGTTCTCAACCGAACAACCGACTAAAAAGGTTAAACGGACCGATTTAAAAGGTTTTAAGATTTTTAGTGTACAACCGTATTTTGCAGTGCTCACTTGAAAAAAAGTTTCACACCCTACTGAGTAACTTTAGACTTTCACTTTACACTGTTTAGTCATTTCGACGTTTTTTGTACCCCCAAAATTTGTGCTACTTCGAGGTAACACACATATTCAGTATATAAATATTTGTTTCTTATCTTTATTCGAGAATGTATGGAATATTTAAAAATATGCATTACGTAAAAAATAGGCTTGAGCATTTTACACAAATGTTTAACGTTCATAAACTCTACTCGATAATATGAACGAGCGGTCGAACAAAGAATACGTTCATTCATACATATATATTTTGTATATGTATATTATATGAGTCTAAAAAGAATAGCTTGTTACATCGCAATTTCTGAAGTAGCATTGTTTTTCGATATTAGTACAGTCCTGTGTAGTAATATAATTTTAAAAATTTTTCTTTACTCTTGAGCCATAGCTATCACATCTTTATAGCAGTAACCGGTACTAGTTCACTGGAATTACTGGCACACCGCATTTATACTATACCGTTTTCATACATGCGTGTTGAAGCACTACTGCAAAAAATTAGATTGTGGTTGTTGTTTACTCGTTTTCTTTTCTGTTGATTTAATTGTAATGACTAAACTGTGTCAGCCGCAAATCGCTTCAGCGGTTACAAAGCATAAAAAATATATATACATATAAATAAACTGTGCTGTAAATTTTGCTTTGGTAGATTTAAAACTAGATATTGTGTGTTGCAGATACTCAAGCGCTTAACTCATGGTTTGCAAAATTATTTCTTTACCGTTTTTCTTTTATTTTAGGGACTTTTTGTTCGATTTTGTATTTCATACAGACTATTGCCTCTTTCTTCAAAAATGCTTTTATTTTGAAGTCGCTGTGTAAACACAACCACCACATTATTCGTGGTGCCCATATCTGCTTTATACGAAGCTATTATCGCTATTAGCTCTTCGTAAACTAATTACCTTTAGATAACCTATGGATTACTAGAATGTTATGCAGAGGTGTAGAGTATGGTCCAGCACTAGGACACTGCAAAGTTAACTAGACCATATTTTTGTATGGATCATGGTGTATTTTTGTTATTCTATTGACCTCATGAATTATATACAACATTTTTTTCACACGTGCTTAAGTTGTTGGCAGGGTAATAAATGAAAGGAAAAATAAATATGCAAGTGTAAGCTTTTATAATGTATGGGAGTGGGGAATAAAAAAAGTTTTGCTGAGAATTCGTCGGACGCTAAAGTTGCAAATAAACAAATCTTTTGAATTAGTAACAAAAAACAATGAAAGGTTTAAACTAGAATTTGGCAGAGCTTATTAATTTTTTTATAGTTACACCATTTATAGGTATATCTTTAGATAATGTATTATTTTGTGATGATGACCTACATCTATGCTAAACTAACATACATGCATGTGTACTTGGAGTACACAATGTGATCGACTAGCAGTTACATAAATGCTGCTAACTTATCCTTTCGCACAATAACAATATCTTCAGGGGTGTTAAATATTCATGAACTAATAGATGTATACCTCTATGTGCTAAATATATTGTACTTATTTACATATGAATGTATATGTCAATGCTTCTTTGAAAAAAAAAAAATTATAAAAACCCGCGTATATACACATACTTACTTATATAAATATACATACGTATGTGTTACATATAGTGTGACAAGCAACTAACACATGTGTACTCAATCTATATTTTGGGGGTTTTCCAGAATCAATTAAAAATCAAAGTAAACCAAAACAAAAGCAGAAAAAATAACAGTGTTCAAAATAAATCAAAAATGCCACACAATAGTCATAGTTCACATTCACGGCATGGTGGTTCTTCAAGCGACGATTTGGGCAGCACCGATGAAGTGAAAATTTTCAAAGATGAAGGTGATCGGGAGGAAGAAAAAATATCATCGGAAAACCTACTCGAGGAAAAGTCCAGTTTGATAGATTTAACGGAAAGTGAGGTAAGTCACATAATATGGTTTTTCAAAAAGACATGTATTTATCTATTGTTCATCTACATTTATGTACATGCATACGGTTTTCAAATAAGAGTGAAAAATTGTTAAGGAAATTCAAATGTCTTTTATTTATTGTAAAATACAATTGATGCAATTAAGTTCTGAATATAACATCATTCGAATCGCCTCCACGACTTCTTTTTATTCGTATGTTATGAATATCACGTTCAATATTAACTTGGAGGTCACTCAATGTTACAATTTCATGAAATAATCGAATGTCCAATTACTGTACTGCTTCAATGGATCATTAAAATGATCTTGATATTTGAATCTATGTATGTATTTAAGTCCACCCATTTTTAGTGGATACGTCTGTTTGATGGAAATAAACCTCCGACCGAGTGTTTGTGAGATATATCTCCCAGGAGCTTATATTTTTGTGTTCATTATTAACAATATATTTCAAAGCTTCACATACATACCGTAATTCGTGCAATTATTTCAAACTATATGTTTAAGAATCGTCATTATTATACGTTCAAGCGAGAGATACGGGAACTACATATGTATGTATATATAATATTAGTTATTAAGATCGTAGAACAGTGCTTGTGGTATACCACAGGAATGTTTGTCAGAATAGGTTACCTTTTTGTCGTGTTATAGTTATAAGACATTTATTTAATTTTTGTTTTTGGATATTAATCTTTTGAAAATAATTTTGATGGAACTCACTCTTCTGTATGTACTCGTATTATACTCGTATTTTCATGATTTTTTTTTATGAATCAAATTTTTTTTTAATTTTTTCAGGAAAAGAGTGGAAAGCTACCAACGAGACCGGATCTGAGTTCAGTTTTCAGTAAGTATCCTTTCAACTGCATTTTCAAACTGTTCCAGTTGCATGTGTCCTAAAGCTTTTAAGAGCTAGGCTTGAGTTGTTTTATATATGTATGTATACACATTACCCATGAATTGTAAACTTATTGAATAACTAATACCATACGAATTAAATGTCGGCATTATGAAGATTTTAGGAATAGCTAGTTAAACAGCAACTCCAGGACAAGCTAAGGTTGCACTAAGAGGAGGAGCAAGTTCACATCAACGTTAAGTAAAAAAATTGAAATCTTTCTGAATTAGACATCAATATTTGCTTTTGGGTACTTTACAAACGTAAATGCAATAGAATAGTTGTAAGGATAGGTTATACTACGTCCACCACTATTGCATGTTTAAAAGGATTCAAAAAGTAGCCGTACATACATACATACATTCAAACAATAATAAAGCGAAAAATAGTAAGTAATTACAACACTGCATTCTATAAATTTGCCTTGCAACATAACTTTGCAAACTCTGACATTTTTAAACGCTTTTCGTGCAACTAAGATGGTGTTCGGCGAACTGGCAAAAGTGTGAAACAGATTGAAAAAAGATAACTAATATAATATTTAAAAAAGACTTACCGCAAAAGACTTTCTCTCCGATATCGGCCGTTGTCGTTAGGAATTTATGATAAAATAAAGCATCACAAACCGCAGCGATCGCAATTTGCTTTTGTCAACAACTTTCGATAGTTTATTTGTTCCAAAATGCACAGTTGCGTTAAGAAATGCGTGACAATGTATGGTTGCTTTTGCAACTGACGTTTTGGAACTCACCCATACTCGATAATGCAATTGAGAAAGTTTCACTAATTTGAGCAATACCTCAGATGGGAATTTATATTCCACTGTAAGACAGGGAAGCCGAGGGCATCATGATTAACGTAAAGTATACATATGGGGAATTGCAGTCACAATAAAAGGCCATTAACTATTTGGTGACTTTTACTTAAAATCGCCGTTGCCGTTTCCAGTGTTGTTCTGTGTACTCGTATACAGAAAATAGCTCTGTCTGTCTGTCAGTAAGAATTAGCCAGTAACGAAATGTCGAAATTGCGCTCTCGATTTTTACTGGCTTTTTGTTTCACCATACACCGCTCAGTTAAATTCAATAACAATTGTTACTGCCCATCAGGTCACCGCACAGAATTAATGTATAAAACTGAAAATGAGGCAGTTCCGGTTTAATGCATCGAAAGTTACTGAGCCCTGCACGCAAATAAAGAAATGCAAATGAAACAAATGGCCAAAATTTAATATACTATTATATCTACATATATAAATGGTGCATTATAACTGCTGAAGCGATTTTCGGTCGAGCTCCAATTGGTGGTATGCGTTTTGATGTTTTAAAAAAATGGAGGGACCCATAGTTTATTCTGAACTGCTGACATTCTCTGCTGAGCACAATTAGAAAAATTGTCTTAATCTCTTCACATGCTACACAGCACACGTAACAATAGACTTATTGATATACGAGTTCGGTAAACATTTTATTTAACGTTCGGGACCGATCAACTGACCGCCGAGATCGTGCGATTTAACGCCTTTAGACTACAGATAAACTCTCTTTAATTGACGCATTAGATTAAATGCTTCAGTGTTGCATTTATTCATGAGCTACCGGCCGAAATGTTGGAAACTGTATACCAAAAATGGACTAAGCGGATGGACCATTTGAGGCGCAATCACGGACAAAATTTGCGTGAAATAACCTTCAAACAATACATTATATGGACCGTACTATCGATTCAAATAAAGATTTTATGCGTTTTTCTGAATTGTGTGGGAATTGTTTACAAAAAACTTTCCTAAAGCTCTTAAAAATCATAAAGGGTCTTTAACGAATTACCTTTGAATGAGATATTTTAAATCTCTCGGATAATATTGGTGCCAGCTTTTATATGTCGCATTTGCACCAATGTGAATACATTGATACATATGTACATATGATATTGAAAAAGGTAGTAGATGAACTTGTACGAAATTACTGTATAAAAGACGCATGGTGATAGTTGGAATTTCATGCATGTTTTGTCTTTTGAGCAAGGAAGAACTAAACCTAGCTTGCAGTCTTATTACAAGAATATTTTATTACTAGTTTGGATATTTTCATATGTTTTAAGTAGTAAAAGTGATTAATAATTTCAATTTTTTTTAAATAAAACAGAGAAAAAAAGACAAAATATAAATACATATAAAATATGCAAGAATTATTATTTTAGTATTTCATAAAAATGTACTAGGGATAATCATAGTAGTAATCCTGCAATAACCAAAAGAAAATACACATGAATAATTCGCTTTCCTGAGCTGAGGGACGTTTATGTGTACTTTTTATTTACATACATGCGAATGATATTTGTTACGAATACTTAGATTAACAATACCAATTGACAAAAAATAAGGAAAATAAGATACTTTCATTTACAAAATAAAATTTGAAAAGATATTTTTGTGACTTTTTCATTTTACAAACAATTAATTGACATACTGCAGATATAATTGGCGATTTCGGTCGAGAGCCTTCTTCTTGAAATGCGGTGGCTGGTGTGCGTCTTGAGGTTTACAACTAAGACAGTTCTTTCCATTAGTAAGCTAGATTGAATGAGTAAAAGGTTTTTATAAACGTTTCCCAAACGTAAACGAACAAAAACATTGACGTGAACAAGATAGTGGATAAGAGGCCTTAGAATAATCGACGTATTTCCGGCTGTGGCGATGGTGATACGAAAGCCCGTCTATTTTTTTGCATTGCAGGAGTAGTTTATGCCAATAAGAAGCAATTTTAAAATGTACAGGAGTCAAAATATGCACTTTTTTAATATTGCATTGATTTTTGAATATACATTTGTAATCTTAAAAGTTTGGGAGCCACTTTATGGTTGTCAGAACTGCCAATTTTCAGATAATTTAATAATTACCTCTCTTTTATTCGTAAATAGATAAATTCAAAAACGGAATAAGAATTCCTTACGTATTTTATATTTTCGTTTCAATCTTTCGATTTAAGCTATGTGCGTCAACAGTCTTAATAATCAATATGAAAAATAGAAAAGCAGCCTTGTTAAAAAATAGAGAGAGAGTAAAACTACCACAATAATAAACAATAGATTATTTATTATTCTCTCCCAGCTTTTAGTAACAGCAGAAATACTGCCTAATAAGAACCAAACAAAATTTTATAATTAAAAAGTAGACCAAAGTTTACGATTAGCAAGACATATATGTTTCTAAGAAAGATCCCTTAATTATCCTAAATTTACAAAAGTGGCAAAATCATTATAAAATTAAATAAGTTTCACAACTAGTTATTAAGTTTTCATTCTGATTTTCGGCGGCTTAATTTTTTGGTTAACTTTTTTTTTTAATAATGTTTATGCCCTGAGAAATGTATACTCTCCCAAACAATTTGTACTTCAGTACGTTTGACTTAGCCTCTAGATATTATCAAATTGAGGTAAACATAGAAGATGTACCTAATACTGCCCTTGGAATTTATTATGGCCATTAGAAGTTTAGAAGGATGCTATCGGGCTGACGTGTTGCGTAACTTGATAAATAAATTATGCGTTGTCTGTATGGACGATTTAGTCGTTTCTTTAACAGCTCACCAAGAACATCTCGACAATTTGACAAATATAAGTTTCTCTGTAAAAATATCGTTTCCAGGCCTCATCGACCTATAAGGTTGTTATCAAAAATTTATTAACGAAATCACCAAACATACAAAACCCAGGAAATATAATCATGAAACTTTTTCAAAAATGTAAGAGCTAATTAGCGGGGTGTTAAATAGTTATGAATTGTGATCGAACCACAAATACTATTAGAAAACTGAAAGTAGTTCTTAATAACCAGCGATAAATTAAACAAATTTTCCAGCTCCTCTTTATAGGCTTCAAGATCTAGTGTATGCATAACGCAAAACCACAAACATTTCATGTCATATGGAAGACTTCTCGATTTGTGTGAAATTTGGGGACTAAATAACTCTTTCTTATGATCCGATTTGTCTGACATGAAGTACATAAAGTGAAAAATAAATAAAAATTTTCCACGTCTTTTTCTTTTTTACTGGCGTAGACACAGCTTACGAGATTACAGCAGAATTTATAACATATGCCATACACTTTTTCTCTGTTTCGCGCACAATGGAGATATCAAGTACAGTCAGGTCGTTCTCTTCGTGGTCATTTCAGCGTCTTACCCTTACTGCATCGAAAACTTTCAAAGCTGGAGTATTCTTATCCAGCCGTACCAAATGACCTCGCTAGCGTAACCGCTGAACTATGCCAATGTTGCCATATATCTCACACAACTCATCATTCCATTGGCTGCCGTATTCGCCGTTGCCAACATGTAGATCACCCTAAAGCCAAGTTTCAAATTCGATGACTGTTTATTTGATGACAGGAGATATTTCGTCTTGCCCTCGTTCACTACCAGACCCATATCCTCACTTCCCTATCCTTCCTTCTTAGCCAGCGGGGTACACAATACGCTTGAAAGAACCTTATATGCGATATTAAGAAGGCGCAGACTGAGGGATCACTTTTTTATGGAGCGGGCGTTTTTCGGCCGACCATATGTTGCAAAGTGGCTGATGCATGCATCTCGTCAGCTTTTCTCCGCGAAGACGCTTTGTTGTTTTTTAAGCAGGCGATTGCTATTCGAACTTATTCATGGTCATTCTCTACACTGCAGTTCGACATTCCTCATCGTACCGTTTCCGTAGTGGCGGTACGTAGGGAGTTTGAGATGGCGTTCCGCAGTTCCCTTACATCAAGTTGTTGATGACTGCCTTCAGAAAGCAGATGTACAAGCCGAGTAGAAAATCGCTCGGTAGTCCGTTATTATATTAAATTATCCAGTTCCTTCTTTAAACTCTTTGGCCGATATTGTTGGCGTGAGGACAAAATGCCCTGATGCGGAGTGGCTTTCGCTCATCATCCGTTCTTGGGCGTCTTTCACG